TACAGGAAATGACTTCTGAAATATGCACTTGGTCATTTGTATTGTAACACAATTTCCGAAGGCAAACTAAAAGGCATATTTCTAACACATGACTTGGAAGCCAAATTTTGGTATCAATGTATCTGGCACACTTCTGAAAATTCATTATATATAATATGCAGGTTTCACCTCTTGTGTCAAATTAAAAATACTCCTTAAGATTTTTTTATAGCTAAAGTTGCATCAGGAAGCCCTGGAAATCAGTCACTTCAATGATGTCACTGACCTCAGCAAAATAATCCCCAAGGGCTGAGTGGGTAACTAGCTCTTTCAAGTGAACATCAAATTATTTTCAGAGCTCTGAACTGCTAGTGGTATGTTGAAACAATATGTGTTTAGCATATGTATATATTTTTAAAGAGAAAAAGGAGAGAATTAGGAAAAATAAATTTATAATTGGACATAGTTTACCGTGTTCCTGCTGCAGTAATCAGATTCCAGGTTCTGAGAAGCCAACATTATCCCTTTCTCTTAATACTCCTTTTTGCTTTATCTCTTTGAAAAATTTTAGTCAGCAATTTTCAACCTATATTTTTTTACTTCTTCTTTGAAAGAAGACATCTGCATGTCTGAATAATTTCTAATCAATCCTCCTGGGTTCGGGTCACTTTGGATCTAGATACTCACCCACCCCCAACCTGGTTCTCTGAGTTAGTTTGTGAAGAGTAGAGGCAGCATTAATTGGCACTGTGATTCAATACCTGGGAAATACACGGCTGCTCTACACATTAAGTAAGTCAGTGGAAAAAGGATGATAGTGATGATCAAATGAACAAATCAGAAGAATCCAAACAAAATTTCAAGACTATGGATGGACTTGCCTGAAATCCAAGAAAATCCTGGGAGATAAACTGGGCCAAATTATTTCTGTGGAAGATACAGTGACCATGTTTCAGCTCACAGTGGAGGAAAAAGTGGAACAATACATTTTTTGTGATTCAATATCTACTCTACTCTGAAAACTCTAACTCCAGTAGGTGAAACTATATTAACATCTATTAAATAATTCCCTTTCTGCATAACTCACTACTGGTGTGCATTCCCCTCTGTGTGAGCCAGTATGAGTGTAGGTTGGCAGACGGACAGGCCTGGTCTATGGTGTTCTCCACGGAAACACTTGCCTAAGTCAAAAACACAGGTTGTTTGTGTGTTGTTATTGTCCTTGAACTTTGCTCCTTTCATACTAAATAAACACACAGATGGCTACAGATGTGGCCTATAAGAAAAGACTTTTATTAGTGAAAACAGCAATAAAATTATTGAATATCAACTCCAGAATTTTACCACAATGGTTCAATTTACATAGAACGATGATGGAAATATACATCACAATTCTTAGTAGGGAGAACAGAGCCTACTACAATTTTGAAAGACTTTCATGAGCAGAATCCTTGCAAAACACGCTTTTTTAGTTATTAACCAGCAGTATAGCAATACAGCAGTATGTGACATAAGCTAGTTATTTGTGAGATGCCAACCAAGAGAAAAATATTGTTTGGGGACCTTGGATGATTATTCCCTTCCTCTGACCTATTTAAAATGATCCTTTGTTTTTTAATTACATATTCATATTGTTTCTTTACCAGCCTTATTCGTGAGGCAGGTAATTCCTCACTTTTCAACTGATTGAAATCATCCCAATTTCTATTTAGTCAGTGTCTATAAAAAACAAAATCAGAGGACTGAGAAACTTTACCTGGTTCTGGGTTCTATGTTCAGTGAATCTAGTAATTATTATTTCATTTAAAAAATTGCTCCTTTTATTCTGAATAACAATGATTCGGCTCAAAGTTTCCTAGTAGCAATCTCAGAGCTTCACTCCTTTTCTCTCTGCAAACATAGAGACAGGGGGCGGTTATTTTAGGGAAGAGACATTGCTTTCCTTGATTTCCCCTTCGAATGTAATTGTATCGACTAGTGGAAGCTGAAACAAAATTAAATTTAAAGTTAGATGCAGAGCATTTTATAAACAAGCTATAACAATTCATCTTATCTCCCATTTACTCCAGCCCTCCAACCCCTGAAGCAAAAGATGACACCCAGGGTCTTACACCTGACGCAATGTGAGCGTCTAAGCACTGTCTTACAGCTCGAGATCCCTTTTGATTTTAATTTAACACAGAAATAATTCCCAACAATTCTTAAATTGAGGGTTACCAAGTTTCAGGTGGACCTCTTACATGTCAGTGATTATCTCTAGTAAGTGATCTTGCAAATAAGATATTCTGATTCAGTCCATCTAAGCATGATTGAACAAATACTAGAAATTAAGCCAAACCCTCACTCATTGCTGCTTACCAACATAACCAAGTGGTCGGGAACCAAAGTCCTGTGTCCAGTACTCCTAGAAAAACTTAAACAAAGTCACAAAACTCTGTGAGACATATACAGCCCGGGATACATAACACATCCAAAAATACTCATCTGTTGTATTGATATTATTCACATCTTCTGCATACTAAGGTGAAGATCTAAAATCACAATTTTGATTTACATTCTCTGTTCCCTCTTCTTCTGCTCCCATAAGGAATCATGTATTAAATCCACTTTCCTCGTCAATACAATAGTTGGGGAATAATCTTTGTGGCCTCAAATTAACCATAAAGTAATTGGTTCCCTGTTATTAACGACAACACCAGTAAAATGATGAATTGATTATCTGGGTCATCTTTGAAAGTTTCAAATAAAAATCAATCTCCATCTCATAAGTGGGTAACTAACTTAAAACGAGCTGAGCTGATCATGTGTTATAGAGGCCATGAATATTTTCTATGAGTATTTCAATAGATAGTTAAGACAAAATATTAATGTTTGCCTATCTACAGTTATGTCAGATTCCAACTGATTCAAGGGAATGGGCAAGAATCAAAGCATGTTGATTTTGGCACTATCTGATGCTTCTCCAAAGAGACTGCCAGTGGAAAGGAAAACAGGGTGAAAAGATGTTTGGAAAGAAAGCATCTCAACATAGGTTCAGCAATTAAGTTCAATAACAAACAGCATTTTAAGCTCTATTTCTTATCCTCAAATTTAAGTGAAAAAAAGATCAGTGGCTATTGCATTATTTCTCCTGAAAAAATAATAGAAAGATCAATAGATTTAACAAATGGTGGTTTCAGAAAGACCATTGTAGCAAATAATTTTATTAATACTTTCATAAAAATGGCATTTAATAAATTTTCCCTAGTACCTTGATGTTATTAAAAGCAAACAAAAGCCGTTAAAGCAGTTCCTTTCTGTGATTTACGTTAGCTTAGAGCATTACTTGATTTTTTTGTCTTATAAACTATCCTAAAATACTAGTAATCAAATCAGGATAAAAAGAATTCAATGTTTTCTTTGTTTTATTTCAAAAGTGATTATAAATACATTCTTAATATATTTCCTCCCCAGCTCTTTGGATGCAACAATAGCAAAAAAAATTTACTCACTGTGCTCATTTCATACATTGTCAATGTACAAATCATGCAAAAGATATTACAGATTAATATTACTGCCATACATTTCTAGATGTGTTTTTATCTGTGAAAACCCTGCCTGTTAATGTTATTCATGAGGCCATGCCCTTTCAAATTTATGTATCCTTATGACTTTAGGAAATTAATGTTTTTGAAAAGCAACCAAAGAAACTGGTCTTAAAATGATTTTCTAATGAATTTATTTCTTCAGTTTATTATTCAGAATGGAAAACTAAATATAGAATATAAATTGCCTTAATAGACTTGAATTACTGTATTGTGTTAACTGTTTCCTCATAAAAGCACACAAAAATATACTTTAAAGAATCCAATCACCTTTTTAGATTTCATTAAAAAAATTAAAAAATCAATTTATAGTATGTGGACGCAATGTATTAACTCAGTCCTTTCACTGATTTCTCTCTCGTATGATCTAATTTTGTTGCAACCATTCTAACAGAGGCCGAGCACATGATACTGTGCCAAGAAGCCCATGATGTGTCAGACCAAATTAGAAATGAGCACTTCTTAGGTTTTCTAGATCTGAATCAAAGTCGACTAAAAGTGCTATACTGTCACATAGATCATTCCTCAAGGAGTTAAAATGAAAACTCTAAATTAGGGCTGAAGCCAATAAACTGTAGATACAGTATTTTCACTGCTCTTGTTCTCAACTCAAAACGGATGCCTAACTACGTTTATCATAAAATGTACAAGGAGAACTAATGAGAGACAGGTGCAAAATAGTATACACTGTAATGTAGGCACAACGACTTCAGTTAAGGAAAATATATAAGTCTTAATGAAGGATCTTTTTTACCGTCATTCACTTATGATTAGAACTTCCAAATAACCATATATATTTAAAGGACTTTTTAAAAAATGTTGAGCATTTATAACTTGTAGCAGAAGAGAATGAGATAGCCAATATGCTTCAGCAAGCTTTGAAATAATGGCAGGTACTTTTGCCACTGACAGCTCTGTAAAAACCTTGAAACACCTTCAAAGCATTACCACACTGAACAAAAGTCATCCCAATGACCTATTATCCCCAGATCATGGATGGAGCTTTCGGGTTCCTCCCCAAAGTGTCTACTTAAAATTCCTCAATCCATACGGTATTGACAGGATAAACTAAAACACTTTCTTTGAAGCTTTTGCATCTTTATCCTGTCAGTATGCATCAGGAGCCTTTAATCCATGAATGCATGCAAGCATGGTGATGGCATATTAAAAGTTCTTATGAAACTGCAGATGAGAAAAAGTTGTTGGGCACATATCTTAAGATCTTTCTTTTAAGATAGGAAGCAAGTATTTGTTTTTAGTTTTTTTAATATTCATATAAAGTTCTCACAAACATTGTCATGAAAATCAAAATTCCACATTAAAGTTTGAAGAGCACCAGCACACACGTATGGAGACCAAAGATTCAGCTATTAAAAAAAGTTCCAAATAATCTATATGTTTTCATATATACCTAACAGGCACGCGCGCACACACACGCACACACACACACACACACACACAAATGTACACACACCCTCCAAGAATGCCAAGTTGTTTGTTTGTTTGTTTGTTTTATCTTGGAACAACCACAGAAAGCCCTGAAATTAGTAATTAATAAAGAGGCTTCTGTTCCAACGTGAACCATAATATCATTTTGGAAGCTGTACCAAAACATCTGCCACTTGAAATTCATGAAGAATGTCTATGTTTACTTTCTCGGTCATCTTACTGAATAACACTGTAGTTATAAGAGATTGAGCACAAAAAGTATACATACGCAGGCAAGCCAAGAAGGCAACGTGTTTCTGAATCTTACTTTGCTAATTGGGAGCTCCTGAAAAATCTTCAAATCTCTCCCATTGTCGAGTACTTCCTTCCTTCCTTTGATCAATTTCAACTTGGAATTAACAGCACAAGCAAACACAGTGGCATGTCATTTGTAGTTGCAGACTGAAACTCTTCTGAGACCAATGAAAGCATTTTACAGTGTGGCTTTGATAGCCAAGATTACCATGATGTTTACTGTCCTACTTGATTATCTGATAGTAGTCAGAATGTTGAAAGAACAGGATACTGATGCATACAAGATATAACTATTTACCTTACTCATTAATTTTTTTAAATATTTGTAGTGAAAACTATTTGAATTAAGCTCAGAGAATCCTGAAAAGCAAGACAACTTTTTGATGGCAAATAACAACTGTCCCAGACACGATACTATAAAACTAAGGAACCTATTTTAAAATGCACTGTTGGTAACAAATCTGAAGATAGTATGCTAAATTCTCAAGAATATCACAGAACTGGTATTTTGTTGTTGTGGTTTTTTTTTGTATTTTCATTTCTTTTTTGTTTCTTTTTTTTTTGTTTCTTTTTGTTTTGTTTTTAAATCATACCTGATCACAATGTCCAGAATATTTCTGTACACTTACGCTTCAGTTTGGTATATTTTTCTGTCTGAATTTATGCTTCTTGATAAATTCCCTGTGATCAGGAAAACAGGCATATTAAATACATATTAAGGAGTACATATTTTCCTATTTAGTATACAAAGTACTTCATAAATATGAATTATGTTACAAAAATAGCTTTGGGTGCGCTCACACGGTAAGCACTTCGCTAGTTTTGGACAACCTTTAAGGATTGTGGGTATTTCACATAACTGAGAACAAACTCTAATGTCAGTTTTAATTTGAGCCATATTTAATTCTGATAAACATCACGTATTTCTTCAAATCACCACAAATGCTATGTAACTCACATTGATTTTTTTTCTCTTTTAGGTTTTTGTATAGACAGGTAATACTTAAAGTGTTCAAATTTATTTTATAGTTCTGTAATGCATGGTATATTTTAAACAAATATTTGCACAATTTAACATTATAAATCCAGCGGTTTCAAGATGCAGGCCATAAAGGTTACCGATTTACAAATACTATCGAATGTTCTCTCTTTGCATGCTTTTTTTTTTTAAACTTTTCAGATAATCTTTACACAGAGTTGTTACAATGCCACAAATCAAAAGGATTATTCCAGTTCCACCAACTTAATCTACGTGCAAGATGAAGGACCCAGCTAAGGTACAAACACTGGTACCAGTTTTCTTGAGTTTGCTTTACAAAGCACAAAGAGACGGAGGTTTTGCATTGGGGAACAAAACAAATTTGCCTCTTTAGGTTAAAGTCAAAGCGTTACGTATATAAAGCATCCCTTTGGCAATAGAGTTTGCAGTATCCCCACAGGACTCCACAGTATAGGTTTTGTGTAGTAAAATCGATTAAGGAAATTCTCTTCTACTGGACACTTCTTTGCAGCTACAGTTAATGAGACACCCTTGGAAACACCTGCCTCTATGCCTATTGATAATATAGTATTTGGACGTGACAAGTCAACAAAAGGCACTTTCATCATTAAATAAATGTCCTCTGTCTGCAGTAACTTTGCATGACCTAGATCTTGTTCAAAGCTGTTTGCTCTTCAAGGACCTGTAGGTAGTCAGGAGAATTCTGGAGTTTGGCCTTCAGTTCAAAATACTCGCTGCTCTTCCTCGGCTCCACAACGATTTTACTGTGGTTGCCGCCTATTAGTGACTTCTTGTTTTTTTTGTCTTGCTGCTTTTCCGGATAGCGGATCTCAAAGCCACTGACGCCGATGCTGTTGTATTCCTTCTTGTTCTCCAGAAAATTCTGAATAAACACGTTGGAATCTCGGCTTGGGAATAACTCATCCAGCTCATCGATGGTGCTCAGTCTCTTGCGGGTATCCACGTGCAGTAAATCTTTCTCCTTGTCAGCCACGTTTCTCATCATGACTTTCTGTCCTGGGGGGTCGGAAAACATGAAGCCCGTTTCAGACTCTTTCAGGCCGCAGGTGTGGCTCTTGCTCATCTGCTCGATGGTTTGTGGGATGAACGCTTCTGTGCTCAGAGTGTCCTTTTTGGTGCTCTTGTGGTCATGCTTCCGCATCTGCAGGGGTATGGAGCCGCATTCGGGATTTCCCAGGCCTTCGTGCTTGGCCGTGGGCTTCTTGTTTCTGCGCAGCACGAAAACAAGAAGGCAAAAAGCCACAAAAACGGTGAGAATCAGGACCACTAAGATGCTTAGGATTAAAATAGACAGAGGCACCGGGCCACCAGGAGGACTTCGAACGGGGCCCAGCGGAGTGGTGAACGTGATAACAGGTGCCGGGCTGGTGAATGGCGCAGATGGCTTGTTCAAGAGCTTGGGACATAAAATTTCATTTTTGAGGGACTTCAGCTCAATGTTGGCAAACTGCACAGGTGTCTCGCATCTCAGTTCTTTCACGACAATGCCATCGTTCAATTTCTCCAGCCACAGCTTGAGTGCCACCAAGTCACAAGTGCAGTCCCATGGATTGCCCTCCAAGTCAATTTGCGTCAGAGTCTGCAGCTGATCAAGGACCCCGCTGACGGGAAGGTACATGAATTTGTTGTTTCTCAGGTTCAGTCTCGCCAGGGGTGCTCCAGAAAAAATGTAAACCGGCAGGCTCTTTAAGAGATTATTATTTAGGTAGAGCAACTGCAAATTTGGCATTGAGTCAAAAGTGCCAGCTAAGATTTCCTTAATCAAATTGTATTCCAAGTACAGATACTGCAGGTTATGAAGGCCAGAGAATATTTCAGGATAGAGTCTTTCGATCTGATTGCCATTGAGATACAACCTGCGCAAATTAGTGAGATTGTGGAAAACGTCCCCTTTGATTGCCGTAATCTGATTGCTGCCTAAATGAAGCAAATCTAGTCCTTCAAACTCAGCAAAGTCCGAAACGTCCACATCTTTGATGCTATTGCCATTGACATGCAACTTCTTGGCATTTAAAGGTTTCGGTATCAGTTCGGACATGGACTGGATGTTTTTCTCTTGGCAGTTAACGCTCAGTCCCAAATCGGAAGGGTGCGTTTTGCAGAAGCAAGGCGCCGGACAGGGTGTAAGAGGCGGCACCCTGGTCTGGTAAGACACAATCTGACTGAGATTGCGATTGGACAGGGCTTTGCCAGCCACGATGCCAGAGATCTTGGATGGGTTTGTCGTTTTCGGTGGCTTGGTCACTAATCGGTGTAAGGATGTTTGGGTGGTGTGACCATTGGGGGTGGTGTAGCCATTTTCCACCTGAGATGGAGGCAGAATTCGGACATCAAAGTCACTCCCTGTGCCCATGGGACATAATTCTTGCTTGTTGGTTTCTTTTAAAAGCCTGCCATATAAATCGCTGGGGGTTTCGCAGATAGCCTCGCCTATGTATATGTTATAGGGCATGTTCTCTAGCCAGGCTTTTAAAGGCAACAAATCACAGCTACAGTTCCAAGGGTTATCTTCCAGCTGCAACTCAACAACTCGGCCTATGTGCTCCAGAACTCCAATGTAAGGGAGCTTCTGGATTCTGTTCCCTCGTATGTCCAGATGGGTCAAAGATGCAAATCGGAAAATATTATCAGGAAGGAATGAAATCAGATTGTCATTAAGAATGAGAACTTTCAGTTTGTGGAGCTTATTGAAGGCTCCTCGTTCAATATACTTGATTAAATTGTAGTCAGCTTGGAGATACTCCAAGTTCTCTATGCCAAGGAAAGTGTCAGCTCGGAGAATCTTTAATTCATTGTTGTTCAAGTGCAACTGCTTTAATGCACTGAGCCCAAGAAAGGCTCCTCCCTCTATATTCTGCAGTTTATTATTTCCCAACTGCAGGGAGACTGCATGAGAGAAATTCACGAATGTACTTGGATAGAGGATATTTAAGAAATTGTTTTGGAAATTGAGATGATAAAAATTAGACCAAGGTGGCTTCAACTGATTTGGTCTGTAGACTGAAACCTTCTCACAGTTCACATAGAGCACATTCTCAACCGACACACAGGAACATACATTGCAAATTTCCACCGATATGTCAGAATCTGCATTTGTCGACGAAATCAGGGCTGACAAAATCAGAAAGAGCCAAAGAAACATCTTCTTGCAATCAGCAAACAACGTTATGCTTCTGAATAAAGAGAAACAATCTAAAAAAAAAAAGAAGATTTTTTTCAATGATCATAACTTGAAGAACTGGGTTTCCACTCATACCACAGTGAACACATGGCTACAATTATTTGCTTTGCATTGGTTAAGGCACGGGAAAACTTCAACGGAGTACTCTCACCCAGTTGAATCCGAGCCAGCAAAAACGCCACCATACATTTTATTTCGGTAACCTGTGGCTTACACACAGTTTACGTGTGCAGAACACACATCAGAGAGGAAGTGAAAACCAAGAAGATTGTTAAAGCAGCTTTCAGTGTCCTGTCTGAGAAAATCTTTTTTTATACCTGGACCACCAAACTCTACCCTTGCACGCTGATCTAAAGCTTCCTATGTTGCATGTCAGATGCCCTATCCCATACCACCAAGTGTGCCCTTGTGGTTAACTCCACAAAAGCATTTCAGACTGCAGCTATTCACTCTCTGGAAAGGGATATGGTTGAGCTTTAAGCTCATAGGTAAGCATATGGCCATAGAGTAGTTCCACTGCTGAATGCAGCTGCCTGAGGGGAAAAAAAAAGATTACCCTGTGAGATTCTAGAAAAACAACCTAGCCTCCTGGAGATGGCCAATATTTTTGTTTGTTTGTTTCTCTAGGTAAATAAATGGTGCCTGGTTTCCTGTCATTCATATACCAAACAGGGGAAGGGGACAGGGTGGGGCGGAGGTGGGGGGAATATTGTCTTTGGGCCCCTATAGGTAATCCTCCTGGACTTGGCCCCGTCTGCCTGATGTCCCTAGAGCTTTCTCCACCCCAAGAACCAGAACCCGGCTTCTCTGCCTACCTGGCCCTGTCCTACTCTGTGAGGTGCCACTTGACACCCCGATATTTCACACTGCATGCGAATGTAGATTTGCCTCATTCTGACCACAGACTGCCAGGACACACCACAATCCTGAAGGGACTCTAATTAGCGGCACCAGATGCATTCAGCCCAGCAAATGTTTGTTCTAAAATCACACACCCTCAAACCTCTCCCCAATCCTGAAATTGCCACCACGGTTCTCTCTCTCTCCAAGCAAATAAAGAATCACTTGGTGAAGTTTACTGCTTTACCAATGAACTTGGAACCAGTTCCTTCAATAACTGCAAGCATCCACAAACCTAGACAATGTTTCACCGCAAAAAAAAAAAGATGAAACAGAACAGCAAGCTGGGTGCTTATTATGGATACAATTTCAGCCATGGATTATCTTTTTCTATCCCGACTATGGGGGAAGCTGACTGTAATTTCAATATGGTACCCCCCATATTTATTTCATAAAGAAATTTTCCCTGCAACACACAATGAGGGAATGATAAGTAGAAAAAAAAGTGTCACAGAGAAAGTCCTTTGTTTATTTTGCCCACGCGGAATCAGCTGAGATAAAGCCGAACCTGCCTCAAGGTAGATGATCCTTGAGTGAACCCAGGACTTTTTCTTTTCTTTTCTTTTTTTTCCCTATAAATACTTTGATTCCTAATCCAGCCTGGCTGTTCCTTGGCTGCCATCAAGATACATATGCACTCTCCCTCATCACCACACTAGCTTGACAGGCCGTGCAAAAAGAAGTCATAATTCTTAAGCATGACATCATCCAAACCAACTTTCATTGTAAAATTAAAATTGCACTTGATCGCTTTTTCGCTTGCCACAGATTGGCTTTTCAACAGTTATTCTGGCTCCTGAGTCATGTCTTGTTACTACCCACCCTACCCCACCCCCCACTCCCGAGAAATCAAAAGCCACCGAACTGAACTTGGATACAAAACAAACCAAGAGGAGGAAAAAAATCCAACACATCACCTGAAATCAACCTAATAACAAGCAAGCACCAGAAGCTTCAACACATCTGAAATTGCATAAGGAGCTGCGCGGCTCCCCAAATTTTTACTCTAAGTCCAAGATGAGGGGGGGGGTAAGGCACAAGGACGAGCTAAGAAGTTCCCCAAAGCAGCTTGTGTGAAACTGAGGCGGCCTCGGGCAGCTGGGGGGTCCAGGCGAGGGAGAGGATGGGGGGCTCGTCAGCCAAGGAGAGAGCGGGGAGAAGGACTCATGACCCAAAGAGCTAGGACTCAGGAAAAGGGATAGGGGTGCCAAAGGCTAGGAGCAGGGTGCTAGAAAGAGAAACGGAGCATTGGATGTAGGCGAAAGGGATTTGACAGAAACACATGCCAGGTTTAAAATCGGAGGTTGGGGGGATGGGGAAGAGGAAACAGAGAAACGGGGGGAAATAGAGGGGGTGGGGAAAGTATGAGTTGGGGATCTCGACCCCGACACACCGTTCTGGGTGCCCAGAGCGACCGCGTCTCCCTCTTTGCCTGTCCCCTCTCGGTCTCCGCGCTCCGCCGGACGCCCTTCTCCCGCGGCCAACCTTCCCCCCAATCCGGCATCCCCCCGGATGCCCCGTCCGGGTGCCCTGGAGGTTGGGGGTGGGGGGATCAGTCGCCCCCGGAGGAGGGCGAGGGCCGAGGTGGCTCGTGGGAGCCGGCCCCGGGAAACGGCCGCTCGCCCGCGGTGCGCTACCTCGGGCCGGCGGCGGCGACGCGGGTACCGCAACGTTTTGCCGCATGCCGGTGACCGGAGCCCGCCCGCGGCCCCCTCCTAGATGCCCGGCCCGGGCGGCGGCCCCGGGGGTCGGACGACGGACGCAGGGACCGACGCTCTCCGCCGCGCTCCCGTCCCAACGCCGGCGGCAGCCGGAGTTCCCGTCCGCTCCCCCGGCCCCGGCGTGCGGGCCACGAGGGCGCCAGCCCCCGGGACATCGGAGGGACGCCAGTGACAGCCGGAGTGACCCCCACACCCACCCAGGCCCGGTGGCCCCGTCGTCGAGAGCCGCGGCTCGGGATACCCCCCCCCCGCCCCCCCAGTCCAGGCCGGCCCCGGGATGCTCTGCTCACCACGCCGGGAAGCCGCGTCGGCTCGCGGGCAACGGCAAAGTGGCGCGGCCGGCGCTCTACGGGCGTTTGCGGACGTTTGCGGGCGTTTGCGGGCGTTTGCGGGCGCCCGGACTTCCCCGCCCGGCGCTCTCGGCTTCCGGCTCTCGGGACGGGGCCGCCGATGATCAGGCAGCGGCTCCCGGGAGAGCGCCCCGAGCCCCGGATCCGCGTCCGCCTCGGGTGGCCGCCGGGGTGTTGGGGGGGTTGGGGGGGGCGGAAAACAAAGCCCCGAGCCGCGCTGGCGGCCCCGACAGCTCCGGGAGCCCGGACCGATGCCGCCCGCTCCGCCGCGGATACTTGCGACAGCGCCGGGGCCGGGCCGGGGGGCACAGCGCACCCCGCCAAACCCGGCCGACCCAAACTCCAAATGAGGATACCGACCCCCGCGGCCACACACGCGCACACACGCTCACACACGCGCACACACACACACACACGCGCGCACACACGCACCCGCACCCCGCGTGGCCGAGCTGCTGGGCGAGGAGGGGGCAGCCCTTTTGGGGAGGTTGGGGTGCAGGCCGGGGGTCCCCCACCTACCCGAGCCTGCCGCCGCGCGCAGGTCCCGCCGTCCCGGCCCGGGGCTGTGTGTGCGGGAGCCCGACTGGCGCTCCCGGGAGCTCGGCCGCCAGTCCACGCCACCGGCCGCCCTCCAGGCTCGCAGGCGGGCAGCCGCGCCGCGCGCGCTCCCGGCCCAGCCCCGCGCGCGCCCCCGCCCCGCGCACACGGGCTGCACCTTTCCAGCCACGCGCCCAGGCCCCGCCCCCGCCCCGCCCCCCGCCCCCTCCCGGGGCCCCTCCGCCCCCTCCGCGCGCCCCCACTTCATCCCCCCCACCCCCGACCCCCAGCGCAAAGGCGCCCTCTGCTCCCGGCAGACCCCTTCCCCCTAGGGGAGTGGTAATGGTAGCGGGGTGCTGACACCCCCCTAGGGAGGAGCGACCCCTTTCTGCACCACAGGAGACCCCCGTGCCTGGCTCCGGCCTCCCCCCACACACCCCCGCCCGCAGACACGCACCCTTAGGTCTCCCCCGCCCCCCCCCATCTCCTAGGAACGGAGGCGCACTCACACACACACGCACACGCACACACACGCGCGCACACACGCACACGCACACACACACGCACACGGCATCCCTTGGGGAGAGCGACCCAGAACCCGGGCAACAGCCCCCGCAGAAGCCCGGGGGGTCGTGGGGGCCGTGGGTCGGGGCAGCTAGAGAGGGGCGTCGAAGTCTGCGCGGAATTGACTAATCCCAGGACCAAGGGGGGTGAGTGCCCAACAATGACCTGCCCGAGCCACAGTCCCACTCGGACCGTGGGGCCGGGGATACCCCGCGCTAAGGGTGGCACCCGCCCCGCGGCCCCCCCCCCCCTGCCCCGCAGCGCCGAGGGCTCCGGGGAGTCCCCGGTGGGCGGCGGGCGACAGCATCAGCATCTCCTGAGGACCCATTTCCCGGGCTCCTGTAGTATTCGCACCCCCCCCACCCCCTACCTGTCTGCGCGCGAGGGGCTGGGGGCTGGCGGGCGACAAGTGTGAAGCTCGCACCCAAAGTAAGACTCTTGGCGTGTGTGGGGGGGGGTGGGGGGGGAGGTGGCGGGGAAGTGGGGGGTGGGGGGGTGCGGCGGGAGACGGGTTAATTCTTCGCACCTTCTAACTCCGGGAGCGGCCGGTGCGGAAGGGGTTAAGGCGGGCGGGCTAGGAGGGAACTGGGGGTGGGGAGCGGGGAGCGGGATGGAGCGCGAGAGGTGTGGGACCGGGAGAGATGCCGCACTCGCGACCAAAAAAAGAAGGGGGGGGGGTGAAAAAATCCGCTTGGGCTACTGAGCATGCCCAGTGCCAGGCTCCAGCCCTATAAGGGAGGCTTTGTGTGCGGTCCGCGTCTCCCGGCTCGGCCGGGGACCCGGAGGCCCGTGGGCTTGGGGGGTGGGGGTTGGGGGGGAGAGTGGTGCTGAATGGGAGACTTTTAGGGGCTGGGGGCTAGCTTCGGGACAGTGCGGAGAGGTCTGCGGAGGGGGACCCCGCGGGGACCCACCCACGGGATACTTGTGATTGACCCAGAAAAGGAGAAGAGATGCACTTGGGAAAGTCTCCTTAGCATCCCCTGTACCCGCCCCCCTCCCCCGCTGCGACTGTCAGGTCTCTATCTTGGAGGTGTTGGCTTTGGAACCTCCAAAGTCCCCGAGGCTGCAGATGCAGGGCCGGGAAGGACCCGGGACCCCCGATTCTCCCGGGCTCCTGTGTTCGTGCTCTCCCGGGGGCAGGGCTGATCAAACCCGCTCAGCAGGCAGAGGGCTAATTGAGTTCATAAATTTGGTAAGAGAGTGCCCCGCGGGGTACAGGAGAGTGGGGAAGTTGAGTCTCCCCTTCTCTGGCTCTCAAGCTTTCCTGGGAAGATGAGACTGAAACGTGGGCGTCTTTGACTCCCCAACCTTGCTGTTTTTGTAAGGCTCTGGACTGAGCCAAGCAGTCTTCTCTTTCCTTGGTGGCCCTAAAGTGGCTTTAGGTAAATAGAGCTATGATATAAATGGGAGGTGTTTGCGGGAGCTCTTGGGAGCCCCGTACTGTGCCACTTTGCAGGTAGAAACTGCAGGAAGCGTTCCTTAGAACGTGTGATCTGCCTAATGGACTCATTCACATTCCAGTAGCTCCAACCACAATAGGATCTAGACGGTGCCTCAGAAATGCTTTTGCTTAAAAAAAAATGAAAAACTCTTTAAGCTAAAACTAGCAATAGCTTTGAATCCAGAATTTGGCTGTGTGCCTGAACTCCTACAGTTAAACATTTACCATAATTGGTTGATGTTTAAAGGCCTCAAATCTAGGCAAAAAAAATCCAATGAGCAGAGGATTTATTATTTGTGGATACTGTCTTATCTCCTATGTGTTCTGGAGTATCATTCAGACATAAGTTTAAATGTTTTCTCTTTTGTCATTTCATCAGACTGCTTTTGGGTTATATTCATGCAAATGTTTGCCAGGCCCAGCCTACACGCAGAGATGCACATGCAACAGTTAAATGAATATTAAAGAAATGTATACAGGCATATTTCTTTATGACCTTGGTAAATAGTGAAGCTTTTAAATAGGATTCCCTTTCTCCACCCCCATCCTCATTGCTCTGAAAAAAAAATCCCATCTTTTTTTTTCTTTTAGAAACAACCTAGAGGCAGAAATCGAGTGGGTGGCAATGGTGAAATTTGCTATATTCAATGTGAAACCCATTATGAAACAGCATTGCTTAAGGAATCACTGTCCATAATAACATATACACTCATGCAGCTCCTCTTACTAAGGTGAAATTTTTCTTCCATAGGCACGACTGCAGTATGTTGAAACATCCCTGTACTGTGGTACATTTGAAAAATATATATAAACAAACATGCCCTGCTAATTAAGAACTGCATTTGCATGATATTGCAATATGTAATTTAAAAGTGGTCCTGGATACAAAACAAGTTGGCATTTATGCCCATGCAAAGGCTTTGGAAAGCTACAATGTATTTTATCAGGATAGGTAAATTGTTTGTCCTTTACTATAAATGTTAACAGGATTCAATAACATGAGCAAAAAATATTTTACCTGAAAATATAATGCACATTCCAAGTGCTGTGATAGCTGAAAAGGCCAGATTTGGACAGTAAATATCAGATGACTTAAATGCTTATCTTTATTCAACTTTAGAAACTGTTCTGAGAGTTGACTATATTTGGCTGCAATAACTGTAGAATGTTCTTTTTCATATGTATGGGTCAGAAATCCAGACCAATGCCACCATAGTACCATATCGCAATCAATAATAGTGCTAAGAACTTATGGAAGATGAATCTCAAATACCTTTGAAAGAATAATTTAAGATACACGTGTTTGTATTAATATTCAAGATTTGTTGTTTGAGATAAATCAGTTGAATACTCATAAAACAACATAGGAATAACAGTTTCAATGCCTTTTCCATCTTCTGTATATATAAAAAATTCTTTAATCCAGTCATTTTTTATATGCTAGAGCTGTCTAAGATAGTCATATAGAACAATAGCAAACTAAGGGAAATCACTGGCTTGTACAACAAAATTAACAAGTGAATAGATGAAGAAATACCGTTAAGAAAACTTCCCCCCTATTTGTAATACCATAACATTTAATACCTACAAAACTTAGTCTCTGGGAGGGATCTTTCCCTCTCATTGTATTCCTCATTCATTCTGCCTTTCCTCGCTGCTAATTATAGCGAAATTTGCTTTAATTTTGGTATTCAAGTATTAGAGAGCATTCCGTGTGACTTCTGATTTGCTTGCATGCATGTTTTTGCTTCTTTTGGGTCACATCTGGCTGTGCTCAGGGGTTACTCCTGGCTCTGTGCTCAGGGATCACTCCTAGAAGGGTGCAGAGAAGTGGAATGCCAGGGATTGAACCCACGTTGGATGTATGCCAGGCAAGCGCCTTATTAACTTTCTGTGACACCCCATTCTCTTTATCTTCATGAGCAAGATTTGTTCATATTCTTTTATTTTTTCAAGAATAACATGTTATCTCTTTAAATGGAATATAAGAAAATGTTTAACATGTGAATATGTTTTCTGGGAGCAGGCTTTTTGTTTTGTTTTGTTTGCTTTTTGGGTCACACCGGCAATGCACAGGGGTTCCTCCTGGCTCTGCATGCAGGAATTACTCCTGGTCATGCTCTGGGGACCGTATGGGATGCTGGGGATCGAACCTGCCTGGGCCGGCCGCATGCAAGGCAAATGCCCTACCCGCTCTACTTATCGCTTCAGCCCGAGGAGGCATTTCTGTGTTTCAATAAGTTGAGAAGATCCTGATCTAAACAGTTAATTTTTTTTGGCCATGTTGGGATTTGTTGGAAAATTTAGTTATCGTAAAAATGATTCTAAAAAAAAATCAAATAATGATTCTGACTCACAAGGAGGGTGGTGTATGTAGGATTTCTCAAGCTTATTTGACAATAAGAGGCTTTTTGAATTTTATCCCACACTTTGAAAAACCTATTAATTGTTCATTTTTTTCCCAAATGTTGTCGTGTTTAGGTGTTGGATGCTAGCTTTCAGGTCACAATCTAATCTATACTCTACTGTCTATTTTCAATTGAGTGCCTTTCCTTTGCCACATTGCTTCCAAATGATTTGATTTAGTTCCCTGCACAGTACTACAAGGGAGAGATTCTTAGACTTCTTTTCAAAAAACAGTAATTTGCCCAAAGTCACACAGTGAGTAAGTGAAAATGATGATTTGACTCCAGGCCTTTTAGTTTTTCAGACAATCCACACTTCCTTGTCCATGGAGGAAAAGAGGCGCTTGCAATTTTGAAAGCGTAATAGATTTTTTCCTCAAGATAAACGCTTGGGACAAAAAATTTATTCAAGTATTCAAGTGTTAATGCTGGAGAAAAAAACAATAAGGGGCGTGAAAAAGAGTTTATATCAATTGCACATGACAGGATCTATTTTTGTAAATTAAGTCGCATTGATTCCCCATTGATTTTCTATACTATCAATTTGGGGAGTGCAGGCTCATGCCTCTGTATGTGTATAGGTCTCATGTCACCAACCGCCAATATTCTAGTGCCATCAGACTATCAAAATGATTGCTTCATCTATTCCTTCTTCTCCTGTCTTCCTTTCCCCATCATTCTCACAGATACTGAATTTCTAAACTGAGCTGATTTTAACCTGTGACCTCAGTGGGCTTGCTT